AAAATAAATAGGGAATTAATCGATCTTAAAATTGTTATTCTCTTATTCTGAAGGGTCACACTTATGTGTAACCCACGTGACTAGCTTCAGCCAATCGGGTTGCTACGTTCTCTGACGTGAGAAAGCAAGCAGAGAGCGTAAAGCAAGCAGAGAGCGCAGAAGCAAACGGGATTGTGCTGAAAAGAAAAGACAAAGATAAATTGACCACTCGTAGCTGATTTGCTATCTAAGACGAGTTTGTTCTTTTTATTTCTGGAGAAGGAGCTTTTCCCATATTTTTTCTCTCACCCTGACTGCGTTCGGGATCATTTTTTTTGTGTTGTGGAACTGGACTTGGCTTTTTTTTGTTGTTGTTGTTTTGTTTTGTTTTCGTTCGGCTGGGATTTGGACTAAGGAGTCTCGGATCATCGCTGAATTGGATCTTCCTAAAGAGTCTCGGATCATCACTGAATTGGATCTTTCTAAGGAGAACGAGATGGCGAGCCAACCCGGAAGCTTAATGACCATCAAGTAGGAGCTACGCCTTCTGCTGGACATTGCCAACCCTGCAATTTGGTACGACCTGCCCATGTTGTCATGCGTATTAGCAGTGGGTCACTGAAACAGAATTAACTGTTGGATCATCGGAAGAAACAAGACATCAATCTGAAGCACAGTTTGATCTGTCCTTTCTGAATTGTTCTGCTGTGTTGTTGTTTTGCTGTTATTGTTTTTTTTTTAAACTCCTTAAGGGAAACACCAAAGAATTAAAATAGATTAAACAGATTAAAACAAACTGTAAATCAAAATAGATAAATAGTATTAACTAGAACTTAAATAGAACTAAATAGTATTAACTAGAACCTAAATAGAACTATAACCTAGGTAAAATAAATAGTATCCTTAATTTAGATTTATAAAATACTCTGAAAGGAACTGGAAACTATTTTTCTTTTTTTGAATTTGTGTCATTGTGTGTTAATTGTGTAACATTGTTGTTGTTTATTCTTTTATTGTTCTTTAAACTAATAATAAGCCGACTGTTTTAACTTAATTTTCTTTGGTCTGTGGTCATTAATTCAAACTACACTTCTCACTACTCCAGTAGCCGAACCTAGCTCTGGTCTTATTACAAATTTATTAACTGTAAACACATAGCGAGTGTTACACATGTACATATTTATTCACACAAAAAACACACACAAAGCACATGTGCACAACAGCTGCAGACAACATCTCTGCAGAGCAAAACCTTGGGAAAAGTAGCACACCACCTTGATTCTTTATTCTTTGTGCAGTGGCTGACAAGTTGCAACAAATCTCAGAAGTGGCAGTAAAGCAGACATGAAACATAAAGGGGGAGTTCTCTCATGAAGAGTGCCCCTACAGGTCAGTAACTGTAACAAACAGTTTTTTTGTAATAATATAGGGAAGAAATAAAGTAAAGCAATGCAATTGGCAAAAAAAAAACCCCAACAAAAAACAAACAAAAAAACAACCTTAAACAACAAATAACATACATGGTAATAGGTTTCAAATAATTCCTTATTGTATGTATTGGTAAATGTTATAAGTTAAGTAAGCATCCATAGTAAGTCATTTGTTTGATTCATGAAAATAATATGTATTCAATCTTATGATGCAACATATGGCCAAGAAATAAAATAAAAATAAGATGAACTGAGTGTAAATGAGTCAAAATAAAAGCTGCAGATCTCTGCTGATGGCCCACCGACACAGTCAGGAAATGTGCTGCCGAGCGTTCAGAGTATGTTGTATACTCACTGCTCTCCCTCGACACTACTTTTATAAAATTGGTTTTGAAATATCAAAGCCAACCTTTCTGTGAAGAAGAAAGAAGCTGATTGTGAATCATGAGAAATATCTGGCGTGATTAAACAGACTAGTTCAACAGCAACACTCAGAGTAGAGTGGAGAACTGAGCAGCAAGTGCACCAGCTTATGAAGTGATCAGTCTGTAAAGGTCAAAACTGTAGTTACAAACAGAGTGGAACATTCTGGTTTGTGGTTTTCTTTTGACTCAGCATGCAGCTGACCAAAGGGCAAAACATGTGGTCAGACTGTACCTTTTTACAACATAAAGCACCTGAGTGGTATAACCACATCTCCTCTGGTTTGACTGTAGGCGTCATCCTGTGCTGCATCTCATACGTTCCTGCCTCATCTCTTGTTTGGTGCCTGCTTCTAACCTGCTGGCTGGTCAATAATGGTGAGAAAAAAATGTAAGATTTCTGAATAATAAAATCAGATCAAAATTAATGAAACAATGAAACCTGTTGATCAAAACAGTGACTGTTGGATACAACAGTATGAATAGAGTTGCTCATGCTTTGATTCTCTCTCTTTCTTTCTCTATGTCTCTCACTAAATGTGTTGCTATTTTCTCTTCATAGGTTTCATAGTGAATCTAAACTACTTTCCTATTTATAGAGCCATTGGCTGTCCTCTGATCAATCACTGAAACAATTATTTAGGTAAAGATGACATGGTAGGCTGATGATACCTCTTGCAACTTTGTTTCACTTCATATGTGGTGGATTTTATAGTCAGGTCTGTTCTGAGTAAACAGCTTCAGAGGTTGGTCAAAAGGCGGGAAATGGCCTATTGCATCTCTTGACAGTGAGTGTAGCTGCTTTACTGCTCATGTTTCTGTGGTTTTTGGTTTCATAGAGTGGTACGTCCATTAAAAGAAAAACAAATATATCTCAGTACATTTACCATTTAAAAAAATTTAAGATACATGTTTACAAAACCAGAGACTTATTTTGTGGGTTGTATTAGCCTTGCTTCCGCTTGCTGTTGCATCCATAAAAGGCATCATGCTGGGCTAAAGAGCACACAGTGTAATCAAACAAATGCTCTTGCAGTACAATAAGATTGTAAGAAGGACACTACCAGGTGAGGATTATAGGCAGAGACTGTCAAAGGGGCATATTAAAAGTTCACAAAGATATATATTTCAGTCAAATAGAAAGTGAGAAAAACAAAAAATAAAAACCACAAGATAGTAGTTTTGCAATAATGTCTGACAGATAAAGAATGACAGAAACCTCAACTGGCAACAACTTTTTTCAGCTGCAGTCACTCAGGGTCAGCACTCAGCTATAAGCAACATATCCTGAACTGCAAAACATATTCCAGTATCAATACTCAGTCTATGCATAATAAACATGGCAAATACTATGTATTTAAATTCAGGTAAATAAGCCAGTTTAGGAGCTCAGTAAAGGTTGTAAGTTTTTTTTTTTATTTTTTTTTTTAAATGGGGCCATATTTGCAAGAAGTGCATTTGTAGGTTGAGCAGCAAAGTTGAGTACATCCAAGGAAAACTCCCCCAATTCTTAGCAAGTTGTTATGTAGGTGTCAAAGTTAATTAAAAAAGCACTTGTACTTCTAAAGCAATCTGTTCGTTTACACTTTATTTAGATTACAGAAAATATAAAAATAGAAAATAAAATGAAGTGACAGGTTCAAAACACCAGCTTTTTAAAATTTACAAAACAATTATCACAATATCTGTTTGTAGCATATGAATATTTGAAACAAGATCTCTTGCTATAAATTTGATTTTTTTTTATTGAAATCAGTGATGTTGTTTTTTTCAGTTTTCTGTACACCTGTGTTGTTCTCTCCAATCAGAAAATCTCATCTTTAGGCCAATCACAATTTTCACACATGCACCCCAGTCTTCAAGCATTCATAGATTATCATTGAATTTGAATTAGAGCCAGCAGTGAATGCAATCTTATCTTGTTTTTGCTGTCCGTGTTTATTATTTACATAATAAATCTCTGTTTTGGCTGTTGGTCAGATTTGTTCAATTAAGATAAAACACAAAAAGCTGATACATTTAATGAAAATTATGAAAAACATTTGACTGGTTGCATATGGTTTTCATACTAAAATTGCAACTTTACAAAATCCTTTCAGATGTTGGCTTTAGCATTTTATTCCATAACAGCAGCATAGATCTTTTTTGTCTCCGTGTTTGTCTTCTTTGTTCCATTATCGTCATTCATTACTGTGAAGACGACGGCAGAGTAAATATTTGACTGCCATTTTTTGAACAACACTTGTTTTGCTTGCTGGGCTGCTGAAACTGAAGTTAGAAAAATAGAAAGGAAAAAAAAAATGTTAATTACGTAGAACATATCAATTAGATTTTTTGTGTAAAAAAATGAATGACTTAGGTTACCGTTGCCATTGCTTTCCTTTATGGCACAAATAAGGACAGCTAAAACAATTAGGCTGATGGCCAAGCCAAATCCAAAGACAATGTTGACCAGCGATGAACAAGTGGTGGTTGCTGCAAAGAAAACAACAAGAAGAAACTTAAACATGAGTCCAAGATTATTTTTATATATACAAATATTAAAAAATGGCATTAAGTGTCATTAATTGTAAATTGGAAATAGTTTGTCTGATAAAGGATATTTTGTTTGGTTATGGACTTTATGAGGAACAATAAACAATACTTTACAAATACTTACGCTTAAACATAAGATTAGTCTGGTATATTTAATATGCTTTACATAGATAAGTCATGTGGTCCTTAGATCTTAAAATATTGTCAATAAAACCTCAAATCTACAGATTAACATTAGTTATTACACTGTCATTTTTATATCTCTTGAAAAATGCTCAGTGAGTATATAAAAATAGGTATATAAAATCATTTATTACGATGTACAACCGGCTAGCGTAAATAGTTTAGCGTACCTCAAGACATTCAATTATTGGCAACTAAAAAGAACATTTAGATTTTACTTTATCCCATTTCTGGATAAAGTATTGCATGCATTTATTCATTACGTTGCATCTATTTTACTTTATGGTAGCCATGCAGAACCTGCTTCTTTAACTGCTCAGCGACATTTCTAATAAAAGTACTCTGCTATATACTTCCTATGTCACCATAGTTGAAGCAAATTATCTGATAAAGAGGAAATGTAAGACTTTTACCTTCATAATGGAGCTTGGCTCCATGTCCAAATAATATCTGTCCACATGCAGCCACAGCGCAGTGATAAGTCCCAGCGTCAGAGGTCTCAGAGAAGTTGTAAAAACATCTCTGTGCAGAGGGAGCTTCGGGACTGCTTTCACACTCATCTCCACTGTTTTCTTGTAGATAAAGTAAACTGGGATGAGAATGATCTGATCCAGCTTTGAACCAGTAAACCCTGTTATCTGTTGGACACGGTTTCCTCTCAGAGTCAGAGAGAACTGAACACTGAAGAGTCTCGCGGGTTTCTGGATAAACTGGGCTAGATGGAGGCATCTGGATGATATCAGTGATATCTGATTCTAGTCCTGGAAAACAAAAAAACATGTCTCAGTCTCACAACTAAAAGAAAATTACTCATAATATGATTTGTAAGTAATTTATTAATTGTATTACCTTGCACTTTTAGAACATTGCCATTAATAAATATGAAATCAAGTTGTCTGATTTTAATACAGTAGTAGAGTCCGTTGTCGTTGCGTTTGGCTTTATTAATATGTAGAAGAAATGTTCCCTGTTCTTGTTTTGTCTGAATGTGAGAGATCTTGGAAACATCATCGTCCATGAAGTTAAATGTTGCTCCGAGAAATTCAGGCCAATTTCCAGAAACAAGTCGGATCCAATACAAAGTTTCTCTGTAGAGAGCGGAGGTCTGGTGTGGACAGCTAAGGGTCACATTTTCTCCAACAGTTGCGGTCTTTACTTCAAACTTAAATTCTTCAGTACAACCTGCAATACGAAAAAATAGTTTCATCACACAATATCTATTGACAAGAGAAGACAAAATATCTTCACTGTGCTAAAGTCATATGGACGGTGCGATCTCTGTTTCATGAAAATATACGTATTTAGTGTAGATTTCATTCATACTCACAGCCAGCTCTGATCATAAGCAGAAAAAATACGATTAAAGGCATTTTGTCACTATCCCTCTTCAGACTGTGTACAGTACAGAGGATCATAGGATGGGTCAAACTAATACAATGACGTTCAGGGGGAGGGAACTATTTAGTGTGATCTGATTGGCCACTTATGGTGTTTGTTATCTACATAAATCATCTGAATTTTCTAACCTAGCTTCATCCAAGCAAGCTTTATCACAAAATTCCTTGTGTGATTGCCTAAAATCAGCTCTGTTTGACAACATAAAACCAAAATTGAATCTCAGCAGATAAAAATGGTCTTAAAGTTTATTTTGCTATTTGATTGTTATTCTCTGTGTCTCTTCAGAAATACCTGACCTGTTTTGATGTTACCATTTTTGTCTGCACATAGCAACCTATTAACAAACTATTAATATAGAATTGATTAGATTGATAACATAGCAACAATATAGTTAATATGTTCCGGCTAAACATAGCAATCATAACAATCAACAGGAACAGGATTATGGACAAATGAGCAGAATGGAACAGGACAGGCAATAGAAATCAAGCCAACAATCTCAGCACCATAACCTCTGACCCAAAGGAACTTACTTTTATCTTGACCAAAATCAAAATTTCTCCTACAAAATGAATTTCAGTGGGTAAAATTGGGATTAAACATGTAAGCATTTTTCTCTGTAAAAATATTTCTAATATTCCTAATGACATAAAATTGACAGCAGAGGTCAGTAATGTGATGGACAATGTGATGGAAAAGCAAAGAGACTTTCATAAAAATAGTCTTACTGTGGAAAACATACAGCTATATTTCTGAACCGAACATTCTGGTCAAAAATAAATCACAAGAGCTCTCAAAAAGGTAACTAGCAGTGACTCTAGTTAGCCCTCGCATAACTTTCAGAAAGACAAGTATATTTTCCCTTACCAACACAAGTAATAAGCCCAACAGTAATGGTCTCTACGAATGCTTGTGGCTGGAGACTCCACTGCTGTTGGAGCTTTAATAAAGTTTGGTGCAAAAAATTTGGATAAGCCAAGGAAATACGACAAGAATATGTCCAGTCAGATGGCGTCAAACTAATATTTTTAGTTCTTCTGACTTTTCCAATATTTTACCCAAATCTTTCTTTGTGGAGTAATTTCCTTCGATTCTTTTGTATGTGGGGATGACTTGGGTTGTTAATGATGGCTCATGTACATTTGATGTTATTAGGTAAAATTTAATGTATAGTACGTTTAGGTAGGCCACTGTGAATATCCTGAATAGTTGGCTTCCCTCGTTCAATAGTGCAGTTAACTCTTCTCAGACATAAAAAGACATTAAAATGCCTGCTTGGTATTATCTGTAAAATATAAATACATTTCTGGACAAAGAGCAATAGAGTCTTTGTCCAGGGATGAACCCAAAAGTTTGCCTCTTGAGTCACTTTATCCGTCTAACCAGTGGATGGTGAAAGTATTTCACTACTCAGATATCTAAATATGCATTTCATATCTAATAAATATAAAATCTGATGTAAAAAACCCCCATTAAATTCAGTTTAAAACTGATTTACAGTAAACACAAAAGAACTCCCTTGCTTGTAATGTGTTGTGGTTTGAGGGGATTTATGCTGCACTCTTTAAAATAAATATATTTCTGATTATCTTTAAAACTCCCCAATACATAACCCTACAGTGATGTCTGGACCACTTAGTGAAGTCACAGTGTGAAGCATCTGCACTTCATTAGAAACAATAGGAACAAGATCCTTTGATGCAATAACACAAAGACATTTTCAAACTGAAAAGCTCCACCTTCTGAAGGAAGCTCCTCCTATTCACTGCACAAGTGGGTGGAGCATAGATGAAAGAGTTAGGGAGGTGTTTGTGGGCACACTTTCCATTCTCTGCACTTCAGAGCAGCTTGGTCACTGAAGTATAAATATATCTGTGTTGAAAAGCAGATGACAGCTCTAAAGTCCTAAAAGACTGGTATCCAAAACTTAGCTTGAAGTCAGAAAACAGACAACATTAACAGGTATGTCTATAAATCGGGATGAATATGGTGGCACTGAGCTAATGACATAATAATAATAAAAAAATAAACTTGTCTCAGTAAGTTCAACTTAATCCCAGATGTTCTGAATTATAAAATATCATCATAGAAATTATCTTTAAAAAGCAAAAACCTAAATAGTGTGAAGATCAAACCTTCTCCAAGCAGATGAAGAATGTAGTTGGCCACACTCCAGACTAGATCAGTTTGATTTATGGCTTAACTAATGGTCAACTTCAAAAGTCAAGTCGTGTATTTAAACTACAGGAAGTATCCAAAAAACAAGGAACACGTTCAGATATTTATTACTTCAATTATTTGAACAAAATGCCATGTCCATATTTAAACAAGTAGTAAAATAAATATAAACATGTATTTAATGATTTAATGATTTAATGACTTATTATTATTATTATTATTATTATTATTATTATTATTATTATGTGTTTTATTAGTTGTTTTATTTTAATTTTGTGCATAGAACTACTTTCAGTCATCTAGTTTGACAGAAATCATAAAACGCTGCATGAGAATTTGAGCATTGCTGTGGTTGTGGTTTGTTCATGCGAGGGTGTGAAAACAAAGGGGCTTTCCTTCCTGTCCAAGCTGCAGCTTCACTCTGATGAACAAACACGTAAACCGTTCTTTAGTTTGCATGAAAAGATACGAGCAAAGTAACACAATAATAGTGTTAAAACGAACATTACCCAAAAAATAAGCACAAATTCATGAATGCAAAATTAAGTTGTCTTGAATTATTTTCACTCAAGCGTTCTTTCTTTCACTGCTCGCTAGATTTATTTTATTTGTTGTACCAAGGTTGCTTTTGTGAAAGTTTTTTTTTGTAATCATGTTTTCAAGAATGTTATGCTTTTTATAAGGCATTTCTTTATGTTTTGTTACAGGTATAAAAACATTTTATAAGTTTCAGTAAAAAAATACCTGTTTCATTAACATGTTTTAATTTTGACTTTAAAGTAACTAACATGGGAAATATCAGCCTTACAGTTAAACTAATGTGATTGAGCTTTTTTTCTGACTTTTTTTTCCCAGTTGAAGCAAAGCGTGTGATGCATCTGTTCACAGTAAACAAGTTTTGTGGTCGGTCGAAGGGGTCTGAACCTCTCACCACAACTCCACTCTGTCAGAATAGCTGCGGAAACCTGCTTTATTTGTGACTATGGGAAATATGTCAAAGAGAGTTTATGAGGTGATAAAATCTCAAATATGTAATATTTACATTGCAACATGGATAGATTTAAGAGAAAGTGATGATGTGAAGCATTATTTTAGAACTAATTTGTATTTATTGCATACAAACATTAATGGAAACAAACATGATTGTGTGGAGAGTATTTTTTGCAAATTCTCAAGCATTGCACTGGAAATAAGATAAGTACAGCCTTTGCAGATTTATTTTATTTTGACATTGTGATCGGTTTGGCCTGGCGTGAGTTGTGTATAAAATAGTGTCATAAACCATTGAAACACATTTCAGGGTCATCTGTAAATGCTGAAGATGTTAAGGTATCACAATTAATGATAAATATTACACCATCTCAACAAATATGCAATAAAGTTGCTAATCTTTCAACACTACAAGTAAAATATTTCAAGAAAGGCACCAACACTCCTTTTCTCTTCAAATGTAAATAATTTTATCTAACAATAAGGCATTTTCACTCACATATGTATAAAATGGCACTGGTTTGAGTTGTGCACTTTGACTTTATGCTTCACACAAACAATAAAAAATGAACTTAGTATAATGTATGTTTAAAAGCTCCACCCCATTTTGGCCCACCTACTTTTTCCTGTCCGTCCCTTTCGAGGGAGGGGCGAGAGGTGGAGCGGTGGGGAGGTGTTTGCGGTCACACCACTGATCTAAAAGTAGCTCTGTCACTTTCAGAAACGCAGTCACGTGGAGGTGATGGAAAGTCTCATCTCAAAAGGTGGTGCTAAAAGTTGCAACCAAAATCATATATGCCCAAGTGAAGATAATTTTATGTCTCTCAGAACATCTGAATGACATAAAGATAACTGGAATTCAGTCAGATCGCAGAAAAAAGAGGGATTTTTATTTTTTTTTTAAGGGACATAAAGTAAGGGAAAATCAGATTTGTAGAACCATAAACGCAGCATAACAGGGATGTGAGACAGAGTAGCTCCACCCTTTGGTGAGGGAGGATCAAGACCCAACCCAAAAGGAGAGGAGGTCAGGTCACTGTTCAGACTCAGATACTTTGAATCGTGTAACTATGCATGTTGAGGGCTGACATTTAGGTTGGACGAAGAAAATGTGGTCTTAGTAGATATGATTTGAGTGTGTAATCAAGAAAAGAAAAGGAGCAGGAACAAGAAGGAGAAAGAGATTAGAGATTGGCTGAAAGAGAACCATTGTATCCCAGCAGCACTGAATTAGATTGTTCTGGTCCGAGACTTTCTCTGACATGTGACTTCAAGAAGCAAAGCAACAACATAATATAAGAATATCAGCAAATAATCAGCAAAACATTAAGCAAGCATGCAATAGAAAGGCAATTTACAATAGCCCTTAATCTAACAGTCCAGACAATGAATCGGTCTCACTGTGAGTCGATTATCAGTCGGGTTAAAGCAATATCCAAAATCCAAAAATTGATGGAACAGGATAAAAACTTGTTCTCTTTCGGCAGGTATAACGTGGCATCCCAGCAGGGGGGTTCTCAGTAGAACTTCTTGTACTTTAGATTGGAAACTTAACTCTGAGGAAAGCAACTTTCTTGTCGAGGAATGGAGAGGCACCACAACAGGCCTCTGTAGACAGAGTCAAGGCTTTGGGATTCAGGCCTTACTTTTCTAGTGGGAATCAGTTCTTATCTGATCAGCTCTAAGTTTTATTGCAGAGGTTTTGCCAGGGATGTCTTCAGCACAAAGAATGTGATATTTCAAGCAGTGATGTCTCTGCGGTTGAGGGACTTCACCATGACAGACATTTTGAAGCACTAAGAACCTGTAAATCCTTTAAGAGTGTACTGAAAATATTCATTAATTTCAGCCAAAGGGCCCAAAAGGGCACACCTGTACAATAAATGTCAGGATTTTGTTTGTCCATTTCAGATTTTTTGTAGCGACTAAGTAGCATATGAAATGACTGAGGTCAAAGCAACATTTATATCCGCAAAAGAAACATTTAGTTATACAACTTAAACTGAAATTTCCACTGTCATATCATAAGCCGCTTTCAAAGTTGCTCCCTTTTCAGCATCTTCAAAGTTTTCAGGTTTAGAGCACATTAGCTTCACTTTCTATAAATGTTTTGCTTTTTTACAACAACTTTTCACGAACAAACATTCACAGAATTTCAAGAATCAATCATTAGATTAGAAAACCTTTTAAAATGAAAAAGGCATCAGCATACCAAATACGGTGGGCAGGCTATCTTCAGCGTTTCAGCCAATCACTGTCCAGAAAATATTCCATTACCTTTCGAACTAAACTCTGCATTTGAGCAACAAGACATTAGTTGTGTGAGAAAAGGTTGTACCACGATGATTGTCAGGGTGGCTGCTTTAATTTTGTTTTTCAGTACGACTGGTAGGTTATTTTTGAAAAAAGAAAATAATCATATTGAGTTACTATTTACATGGAAAACATTCTTGTGTTTTCAAAATAATGAGCATGTACTTTTAATGTATTTTCTACAGCTCTAATTCATACTGTTGAGGCTTCCCACCTGATCTCCTTAACTCTGGTAGACGTCGGTGACAATATCACATTCGACTGCAAAGCTTCTGAGATGGATCTTAAATTTGTTTACTGGTATAAACAATCTCTTGGATATATGGTTGAAACAGTGGGTTCTGTGATTCTTGGTCAACCAACGATAAGTGAAAAATTTAAAGGCTCTCACTTTGCAATAACAATCAAAGGGTCTCGTTATGATCTCACTATCTTCAATATCAGCAAAGAGGATGAAGCAACATATTTATGTCACATTGGAACAACATATTCACAGAAGTTCACCAGTGGCACTTTCCTCGCTGTGAATGGTAAGATGATGTTTTCTGCCTGTAAAATTCACTGACATGTAATGTATTTTTCATTAACTGTGTTTCCTGTGATATTTACCATGCAGATGATAAACAGCAGAAATCTCTCTACTTGAAACAACATCCAAATTCAAGGTTGGTTCACCAAGGAGAGACAGTAAATCTCCAGTGTTCACTTCTCTCCAAGAATAAAGAAAAGTCCCAGTGTCCAACTAAACCCAGTATGTACTGGTTCAGAACTGAATCAGAACGATTCCATCCAGGCATCATTTATACCCAGAGGAACATCAGCGACAAAGACCTGGACAGAAGCTGTTCTTACAGTTTATCTGTACGAGACTCATCTGATGCTGGAGTTTACTACAGCGCTGTGGTAGCATGTGGATCAATCGTGATCGGTGAAGGAACCAAAGTGGAGATGAGTATGTGTTTTGTGTTTTCTACTTTTCATAAATATATTACTTTGGTTTGTCCTTTTTGGACCACTCAACAACTCGCTGGGAAGTTTCATGCCAATCGGAGATCTCAATTCATGTGGTCTTGCAACTCAATGATGATTCAATTATCATTACCATGTTGTCTAATATTTTGTCTAATATTTCTGTCTAATATTTCTGTTTGCTCTTTTTTCCAATCTAGAAAAAGATTCGAATCCTCTTGTCGTTGGACTTGGAGGACTGTTGGCTTTTTGCGTTTTTGTGATTTTTCTATTAATTTTCAACAACAAAGACAAAAACATTTGTCAACACCTCAAAGGTAGGCCTGCAATTTTCTGGGACCCTCCTGGGATAAAGTACATAGATAATGGGTAGAGAGTAACACTCTAAATGCATAAAATTGAGAACCTGTATGTTCAAAATCCATAGGAATTAATAAGCTTTTCTTTTCTTTACAGGAGAACTTAGTGTCCTCATGTATACTGAAAATGCCAATCTAAGTCACTCAAATGAGATGGTAAATAAATGAGACATGACATCATGATGATCATTCCTATATGCCATTCTGTGTTATATGGCTGAAAATAACATTTTATTTTTTCTCATAGAAAAATGAAACCACAGGAGCAAAGTACACAGTAAAGAGATGGAAATGAAATAAAATGAAGCTCCATCATTGTCCTTGCACCACTGTCACATGCGATGATGTTGTCCATCAGTGATCCACTCTACAAGCAGAGTGGGGCCAGTAAACCAGCATTTAAATTTGTGAAAAATAAATGTATTGCATTGGTGTCTGTTTCAGCTTGCACTTACATTTTGTCTTAAAATATCAAAATAGCTTGGAAGTATTTTATGCTTGCTATGCCCAGTGTTGCAGAGGAAGAAGATGTATTTGGTGAAAAGTAATTGTATGATTTCTTTACAGTATCAATGCAAAGTCGACCAAAATAAGTGTAAATGACTAGTTGTCAGTTGTCTCATCGGGTTAAACAAATAAATGCTAACAATTCTGTATTACACAAAGTGTATTGTGTAGTGGTTTCAATTTCATTTTATCAACTTCTGCTCAGCTTGTTATCTTTATTTTAATATCTACTAAATGTACTTTATAACAATGGTAGAGTTCTTAGAGGAAGGGAGCAAGTTTTGCTTTCACAAGCAATTACTATGAATAGACAAAACTCAAAGATCCGTTGAAAAACAATTGACAGTGTGCATGAAATGTTTTCCCAGGTACATTTTTAAGTTTGTACCTGGGTTTATCCCCAATAACAGGCAGTATGCTTTTCTTGTGATGAAAAGTGGGACATGTTCTACACTGCTAAATCAGACTGAGTGGTGTTGAAAATCAGTAAATAAAAACTAACATTAGAGTTTAATATGCTTTTGATGTTACCTACATTAGCAAATCCCCTCCGAATAGTTGGAAAGATGTTTAGGGTCATATCGTTCATGCGGTTCACTTCAGGGCAGCACTGTGAGTATCACAAAGCTCCTTTTAACTGGAACTGTTGAAAAGCTCCTTTTAACTGGAACTGTTGAAAAAAAACTTGACTATCAGTCTTCCAGTTATGAGAAGACGCCTCTCATATTCATTCAAACATGAGTAAGAAAAATGACATCAAAAATGATATCAGTTTTTCTGTGTAGACACAGAAAAAAAATACTGTAATGATTTTAAAAAAATGACACATTTCAAATGGGAGATGTGAATTAACTTCAGATATCTGAGGGAAGGAATGTTTATGAGATTAAAAACATTTGCATTAGTGGGATTATTCAGGCATAATGTATGACGTTTTTAAATTTGGAGTATAACTAAAACGTGAGGATAAAAACGTAGTGTGCAGAGGTACTGAACACAAAGTTCAACCTTCCAACAAACAAAATAATGCTTGACAAATGCATAGAAATGATGCATGGAAACTTAAGCACAACTGCTTGTGGTTTGGTAAACACAAGTGTGAAAACAAAGATGCTTTGTTTCCTGCCCAACCATTTAGCTTACTTTGAAGTGAACCTTTACTTTTCTCTTTAAAAAAATATGTACAATTATAAAATTGTTTTGACAAAAATAATTAAAAAAAAACATACACAAGAAAAAATGAATATGATTTTAATGACCTAATTTGAGCATAATAGGGCTACATTTTGTTCTTTTCGCACTTCCTGTTTGGTTGAGGCTTGCAGAGCATCTATTCTCAGTAAACAGCCTCAGCAGTTGGTCAAAGGTAAAATAGACCAGCCTGCAACTGTTTCTATTTGCTGCTGTCACTTTTGCATGTAGTTTTTCATAATGAAAAGGGAACGCTTGCGGTTTTTCTTTTTCTTTTTATAAAGTTTAAAACATTTAGACAAACTTCAGAGAAACCCATGGTATGAAAAAAGTGAACATGTGCAACAAGGCATCAATGAGAAGGTCACAAAATGTGAGAAAGGCCGGAAAGCAGCCGGGGTTTGTGGTGGAGTCTTGTAACTTCTGCATGAAAGAGTAATAACTAAACAAAATATTGAATCTATCTTTAAGAAATAAAAACACAGGATAAAAAAAATCAAACATTTAATTTATTATAATACAAATGAAAAATAAAAATCTAGTAGTTCTCTGTGTTACAGTTAAAACAGCTTACATTGTTGGAAAAGTAATGATTGAAAATACTGTTTGTCTGTACAATTTTGTATCATTCTGTAAAGTCATCTTTTAACATTTTATTTACTTAGAATATTCTTTCAGTTCCACTGAGAGCAAAACAAGCCACTGTTTGCATTGTTTATAAGCTGCTGAACACATTTTCCCCCTATTATGCCACATATGTTCCTGTGTCATTTACATAGATCTGAACACAAAGAAATAAAGTATAATTGTAAAATAAGGTGTAAAATGTACCGCGTACTAAAATGCCAGGGCAGAGTAAGTCTACCCTCACTTTATAATGGTATATGTCAATTTAAATCAGTGACTTGTACATGTGATTATTATCTTTTTATGTGATTGTTTTTTATTATTATTTGTATTATTTTTCTATGGACCTATTTGTGTCTTTAATAAAGCTGATGATGATGATTTTCTCATTTATTTTTTTTATTAAAGTTTGCACTACAATCTTATTTGGGATTTTTGCACAGTTTATGATTGGTCCCAAGTGGTAAAAATAATTAACTGCTAAATGAAAACAGACGATTCCTTCTGTTTGAATTACAATGAGGTTAAAATATCAACACTGATAAAGCATAGTATTAGAAAACATTGTCAGGCCTTCTAACATCTGAGTCATAGTCTTACATAAATTAAAAATTTCCTAATGCATCCTATTCACAACTAAATGCAATCAACTGTCAAATGTTGCTACATGTTAGTTAAGGAGAATGGATTGCTTGGAACTATATTGACTGTACAGAGCTACTGGTATTAAAACAGCTACCAGTTTACTGCAGACCAAATACATCCTCCAGAACTTGTGTTTATGTGACTTTATTTTGGTTTTAATTTAAATTCTTTAAAAACAGCTTAGAGAAAAATTCTTTGAATCTGCAAAGCTAAAGTTTGTTTCCATAACTTTAAGATCTTAACATTTTAAAGTCACCGAAATAAAAAAAAAAGCTCATGTATGACCGCTGTTACAAAGGATTTGACCATGGCAGGTTTCAGCAGACAAGTGACAGCAGCAAATGTTTTTAATATAACAACAGAAGAAAAACTAATTACTTTGGCAGTCTTCATTAACAGCATCAACAACAAACAAGCTATTACTGAAAGCAAAAAACTCTACCATCTTCCCTTATGATGTTTTACAAAATCTGCCACACATTAACATGTGTGGCAGATTTAAACATAGCTATTTAACAATGTGTAAGGCATTACAATAATTATAACTTTGGATATCAGAAAACCAAATACACAGCAAAAAACACTTGTTTATGTAGCGCAGATTTGACCCAGTAGAAATGACTGATCGTAATAAGAAATTCATCCCACCGTAAATATTTTCAGACCGACCAAACTAAAACCGAAAGATTTAATAAAACTTAAAAGATTTATTAAAGATTTGACATTGTTTTTATCATAAGTAAGAAGTTAAATGAGGATATGCCAATCCCTTATTCACTGAAAAGGCCTCGCAGGTTTAGCAAATGCAGTGGGCTGTACATCTTCGAACATTTCAGCCAATCACTGTTGTCTGTTTTGGAAACACTTCGACACCACCTAAACTAAGCCTTCCATTTGGTAAGAGGACATCAAATGTGCGAGAAGAGAAATAGCTGCACCACAATGATCGCAAGACTGGCTGCAATGATTATTCTCAGCGTGGCATGTAAGAACACTTGTTTTCTAGAAAGAACTGCATCTCCAGACAAACCAGTTGGTGCTTGGAGTATATCAGACTTGAATGTTTAAAACTATATATTACTAAAGCCTTCACTGTTATTTTCCACAGCTCTAATTCATACTGTTGAGGCTTCCCACCTGATCTCCTTAACTCTGGTAGATATTGGTGACAATATCACATTCGACTGCAATGCATCTGAGATGGATCTTAAATTTGTTAACTGGTATAAACAGTCTCTTGGATATATGGTTGAAATAGTGGGTTCTGTGATTCTTGGTCAACCAACGATAAGTGAAAAATTTAAAGGCTCTCACTTTGCAATAACAATCAAAGGGTCTCGTTATGATCTCACTATCTTCAATATCAGCAAAGAGGATGAAGCAACATATTTATGTCACATTGGAACAACATATTCACAGAAGTTCATCAGTGGCACTTTCCTCGCTGTGAATGGTAAGATGATGTTTTCTGCCTGTAAAATTCACTGACATGTAATGTATTTTTCATTAACTGTGTTTCCTGTGATATTTACCATGCAGATGATAAACAGCAGAAATCTCTCTACTTGAAACAACATCCAAATTCAAGGTTGGTTCACCAAGGAGAGACAGTAAATCTCCAGTGTTCACTTCTCTCCAAGAATAAAGAAAAGTCCCAGTGTCCAACTAAACCCAGTATGTACTGGTTCAGAACTAAATCAGAACGATTCCATCCAGGCATCATTTATACCCAGAGGAACATCAGCGACAAAGACCTGGACAGAAGCTGTTCTTACAGTTTATCTGTACGAGACTCATCTGATGCTGGAGTTTACTACAGCGCTGTGGTAGCATGTGGATCAATCGTGATCGGTGAAGGAACCAAAGTGGAGATGAGTATGTGTTTTGTGTTTTCTGGCTACTTTAAATACATCTGAGAAATATAAATGTTTTGTCAGAGCTTTAGCACATAAATAATTTAATTTAATAAGTCGCTTTTATTTTTTTCATGTGCTTGACAACTCTTTAACCTATTTCTGGACGTTATAGTTTATCGTGCTGGCTTAGTGTAGCCTTGGTCATAATGTCCAATTGCAAAAATTGACTACCAGTACACTTGTGTTAAGAAAAATATCTGAAATGTGCCTTTCCTTTTTTTTTCTAAATTAGAGCAAAATGTTGACAGTCTTGTCATTACACTTGGAGGACTGTTGGCCTGCTGTGTTATTGTTATAGTCCTCCTAATTTTCTACATTAAATTGAAGCGAAATTGTGGACAAACCAAAGGTGAGTTTCACTTATTCATTACAGAGTCACTTTTATATTAACCACAAACTGCTTTTAAAATCTTTAATATTGAAAATGCTGACCCCAAGCTTACGTGTATTACCATGCATGAAATCGCTTCCACCAGTCTGTACAATCAGAACAGACAGATCCATAATTTCTTGTGCATTCCAGATTTGCCTGCTGCTTTACATTAGGCAAAGCAACATTATTTCTGCATTACTGTCCAATTTTAATGACCCTGTTTGAACTATAGTCCCAGTTCCCTGGATCCTCACAGAGGTTACTTATGTCTGAAGCAGGATATTTGCTGTGAGATTAAGTGTTTTGTGTTTTCAAATATGTTAATTCACAAACCGTGATTGTATTGAGTTATCTTTTTTCAAGCTATTTTATCTGAAGCACTTTAGTTTCAAAAGTACTGAGACCAGTCTGTCTGAAGTCACCTAATATGTCATTCTCAAAATCTCTAAAATCCCTCATCTTTGAACTTGTTAAAGTAGTCTTCTCCAAAACTTGAGGCCTAAATCCACTGAATCTCGGTCATGTGACTGGCTCAGTTGTTCTTTGTGTTATTGTGCATTGCAACCAAGTCCCGTGAAAGTATGCTCTAGTTTTTGAATGTCATAAAATTCTTATAAAAGACAATTATATTTGCAAAGCATTCTGTCTCTCTTAAGCTTAGTTTAATTAACTACAAGACAAATTAGAAGAAACATTAAAATCTTTCACAACACCAAAAGCAAACGACATGAAAAAGAGAAAATCTATGAAAATACTGTTTGTTCTTCAAAGGTCAAAATGGTGCTTCCAGTCTGGTGGTGGAGGATGCCAAATCAAAAGATGTTCACATAAGGAACTTGGTAAATATATCCCTGACAATTTCTTCACAACACGTTCTGTAAACATGAAAATAGACTAAATTATTCCTTCTTTTGCAGGATGGAGAAGCAATAGAAGTGAACTATGCATCAGTGCAAACCTGGGTTAGAAGGTCTAATGAGAAGAAAAAACATCCACAAGAATGTGTTTACTCCACTGTCAAATCAGATGGTCACCAAAATCAGCTCTCTTCACTTTAGTCATTACATCACTCTTAACATTTGATGCTCTTCTTTCAGAGCATTTTTCCATAACTTAATTTGTAATGCAAAATCATGTTTTTTTCCCCTTTCTCTTACTTGTTCATTTTGTAGTATCAGTATGTTAACACATGAAAAAGAAAAAAAAAAAAAAAAAAAAAACAGCTGTTCTTTATTCCATGGATCACACTAAGTAATTTCTCTTTGCGTAAATCAACTAAATTGCACATAATTGTAAATTATGTTGACAAATATGTAACAAAATAAAAGCTGAATAAATCATTGCAACAGATGTGTGACATATTTTTTTTTTATTTCAAACAAACTTCCTTCATGCAGATGGAATAAACTTACATCAAAAATTCAGTTTCGAGTTTTCCTCTAAATATTGATCCCGACTGAGTGTTGTTCCCAAAGAGCACCACTGGTATGCTTAATGTTAGCAGTCCTTTTAACTACCATTGTGTACTATAGTGTCATGGGAGTGCAGGACTATTGATTTTGATGAAAAAAAAAAAATTGAGGCCAAACATTGGGTGCTGTATTCACAAAATATTCACAAATTATTCAAACATATGATTTGAAGATTTCCAAGTTATGTTTTGTTGCAAAACAAATTGCAAATGGCAAACATTAATAAATACCAGAAGTCAGACACATGAAACTTCCTTCATGCTTTCTTAACATGAGAAAGCCAGGCCGCAGGGGCTGTTTGCCCAGGAAACCAAATGTTCTAGGACCTCATCTGATTTTATTTCTCATGTACCCATTTTACTTGTTAGAATCACAGTTGAGGTGCTGCCTCACTTGTGTCCCTGGACTGCACATCACTGGTGGATGTTATAAGGCATTTGTATCGAGACACACAACTCTAGATAGAAACTTAACTGTACCAGGCTATAAAGGCAATGGCAGAAACAAGTTGCATCAGAAACCTGGGCAGAAAGAGGAGAAATACAAACCAAAGCCTCTGGAAATTAACTAAGAGAAAGATCCTTCTTTATGTTTTACACGCAGAACAGTAATTAAAGGCAGGTTATTGTATTATTATATGCCAGATGACCAGAAAGAATTTTAAAGGCAGCAGTACAAAAATCTGAAATGACATTTACCTCATTTCCAGTTACAGGACTAATGTCAAACTGCCTCATTAAAAAATATGACTACATGACACAAACTGAGGAAGTTTCCTTAAAACCCCATCATGAATTAGCAAACCAAATAACCAAATTTATGAACTGACCTCTACCATGAATTTATAAACGGTTTAACCTGCACCATTTTCAGAGATAGAAACAAGATTCAGGCCATCACTACAACAGGAAACAGTTTGGGGGAGGTAGTTTCTAAAAAGAAATGCAACGTGTATCTTTATGAAAAATGACATGACCAGGGGAGAAGTTCATCTTTCATCAGGATAAGGACCCAAATGATAAAGCTGGAATGGGATTGTGTGGATCAAAACATGTCTAGACTAGTGTTAGAATGGCACAGGCCTAAAGAGAAGGTTAAAGAGGTACCAATATAGTTATCTTTCTTATTTTCTCTAAATTTTTTGGCTGCAGAGAAACACTAAAAGCAAATGCAATATATTTATATAAAGATATGCTTTTGCCCTATTTACACTTACCAAAAATTAGTACATTATTTTTTCCAAAAAAAATAGTGCTACTATTTTAACTCATTGATGACGATGGAAAAAAGATCAAGCTGTATTATTACATTTTATTACAGTAAAAAAAAATAATATTTATACATTTTATGAAAAGTGGGTTGTTGTAGTGATATTTTTTTGTTTTTGGTCACACTTACAACAACTTTTACTCTCTTGAAAACATTCCATACATACGCAATTCATCATACAGTGTATTATGTTGCATTACTAAAGAAACAAAAAAGTGCAGAAAAACATGAAGCTGCACTATTTTTTTAAAACATATTTTGGGCAGATGAACATCAGTCACTTTAACTTTTAACACAAACCAAAAAGGATACACGGCTTTTAAATGAAACACAATAAAATTGAATACACATTAAAAGATCTTTAACCTGGTGAAAGTATTTATTAAGCTAATATACTGTGTTAAATGCAAAAGACTGCAAAGTTTTTTTTTTTTGGCATGCCAAGCAAAAAAAAAAACAAACAAAAAAAAAACAAATAAAACAGTAGTCTAAAAGGATCCTTGAATCCATGGTTTAGGGTTTTATTCTTTATCAAAGATCCTGACATCACTGTAGATGGTACCTTCTTTTCTTCTTGCCTTAACCCTGCCCACTCGGTCATCGTTTCTCTGGGTAAAAGCTGCTGTAGAATAAACTACAGAGTCTTCACTTCTCTGGGGAAATAAAATGAATGGGCAGATCTTAATGCTCAGATATTTGTAGATATAAGATGCACATTATTTAGCTGATATATTTTTAACAACATAAAATTTCTCACCTGCTGATTTTGTAATTGCCCACAAACTACTGCAGCATTTCTGCCTGGAAACTCAGGACCTGTTAATTATTATGACAGTTTAAATAGAGTTTAATTTTATGTTTAAAAAAATTCCACTTTTCAAGAAAAATAATCTAGTTACTACTCTTACCTTTGGAAAAGTGACAACATTTTTTCCTAATCAAATAGACAAGTAGGGCCGTAGCAATCAGCAACAAAACCAAGATTCCACATAGCAGAAGGAGGAGAGTGATGTTCCTCTGTGAATTATTTATGCTGTCATCTGAAACATAAAAAATATATATATCTACATATAAGTCATCGTAGAAGAATCAAAATATGACATAATATTGTGACTGTAATGCAGAAACACGTTTGAATTACCTTGAAACTCCAGTTTTGTGCCATTTCCAAAAACTACCATTCCACATGCAGCCAGAGCACAGTAATAGGTTCCAGTGTCGGAGGAGCTGATGTTGTCTTTCACAAAGTTAAAGACGCAACTCTGTCCAGACTGAGACTCAGGATCGTCTCCACATTTACCATCACCCTGATTTTGAGCATATATTAAACTGGGACGTGACTGTGGTGAAGAGACTCGGAACCAGAAGACTTTGCGTTCCTCTGGACATGTTTTCTTCTCTGACTGAGAGAGAACTGAACAATGCAGACTCACAGATTCCCCTTCATGAACTGCATCAGATAGAGAGTCTTGAGTGACTACAGTAACATCAGGTTCTGATTCTAGAGAAGAAAAGAGATAAATTACAACATTTATACAAATGATTTATATTGGACTTCGGCATTAAAAAAAATATGCATTTAAATATTAAACAAACCTAGAAATATTTCCAATAGAAATGGTTAATGTATGTTTCTTCATAAAAAAACACACACAAAAACAGTGTGAATGTTAACCTATTCACATTGATAAAACACTAATGGATTTAAAACATTTGTGATTTTTCTAAAAAGTTTTATGAATCCCTTTACCTTTTATTCTGAGTAATGTTCCATTTAAGAAAGTAAGGTTGTGTTCTTGTGTCCTTAAGCAAAAATAAAATGCTGTGTCACTTAGCCTTGTTCTTGCTAAGTGTAGAACAAAACTCCCAGGTTCTTGTTTGGTTGAAATGCGAGAATATGTGTTTGATTCGGGATAATTAAAAGTAAATGTTGAGCCTAATATATCAGGCATTTTCCCAGGGATGAGTCTTATCCAAAAGAGATATCCAACAGGCCCAGATGAATGTCGTTTGCAAGAGAAAGTCGCATTTTCTCCAACAGCAACAGTTGTTATCACAAAGTTCTCAGCATCTGCACACAAAGAAAACATTTTTACACAAAATAGTAATTAATAACACCAATGTGTTATATTTTTTATTAAATGAAGAAAATACTACATTTTCTGATCTCTCTCCACATACTTACATTCAACTTGGAGCATCAGCAGGATGAAAAAGGCAGCGTACATATTGAGGGCGTTTATCAACTCAATGCCACAGTTAATTCTGTTTACTATATAGGACGAATTCTTAATTTGGTAATATAAAATGGGAGGGAACAATTTCTTAGACATCTGATTGGCCTATTCAAATGTTGTGTAGCTACCCCAGTGGAAAGAGGGTAACCAAAACTTTCCAGCTTAAATGTGAGAGAACACCAGCAAAGAGCTTTGTCATCTGGTGTTGGTGAGTTTTAGTACATGTGTAAAGTTAAAAGAAGGGGTTTGAAGCCTGCAGAAGCAATTATTATATTACACATAAATCTGTAATAATGATATTAAATTAAGGATCCAAAAAGCAAACCAAAAACAAAGAACTCAAATCAAAAATAGAATAATGCTGGACATGGCTTCAGAATTCCCAATAAAACATCAGCAGGTTTATTAAATATCTAAAAACCTGGTGCTGTTTTATTTATGGAAAAGTTAAAATTTTACTAGAAAAAAAATATTTTGTGTTCTCTTTTTAGGGATCTAGTGGCTTCTGAAAACCCCAGACTTTTTGGTTTTGTGAAGGTGATATTGCTTTTATGAATTTCACATGGCATGAGTTTGCTACAATAAGCACACCTTTAAAAAAGCACAGCTGAAGTCCAAATTAAATTAACAAACCAATATTAAAAAGCACGTATTCTTAAAAATCACTATGTAAAAGTTTACAAAGCTTTTCACATGAACTAAATATAGAACAAACGTGAGTGCCAAGGAGTAGCCTTAAAGAATTGATTTCATGAGTGTAACATTATTTAGTATTTACTAATAAACAGAGTTTAAATATATATTTACTGTATGCGTGTATGCAAAGACATAACTAGAATTTGCCTTGGGTTTATTTCAAATGCAGTGGACTAGAGGATGGAAAAGAAGAGAAAGGAAAAGAGCTGGGTACAAAGTAAAAGGGAGAGAGGGAGATGAGAATAGAGGAGAGGAAAGAGGACAGAGAAGATACAAGAAAACACACTGGATGTCACCTGTGGAGAGAGAAAGAAAAGAGAATCAAGAAACTAAAAGGACATATAGAATATGCATATCTAACATTAATACTGAAAAGCACAAGGTGTAACCACAGCACAGGACAATGTATCCAAGAATACTTGAATCCATAGCTGAGTGAGTTCGTGAATGCACATGTCCAGATCAAGTTTTTCTATATAAATGTTCAGTAGCACATGTGAGGACCCGCAGACCCAACCATTGGAACCTGAGGCAGACATGGAGAAGATCCAATACTCAGGCATCCAGAGGCCCCTAGGAGCCCCGGGACGACCACCACAGGAACAGCCACATCCCTGTTCCATAGAAGAGCAGAGGAGAAGCTTGGGGGGGACCACCCAGCATCCAAAATGCAGAAAGCTGGAAGTTTTCATGAAACAAAGATGCAAAGATGCTCTAAAATCACTGCACAGCGATGTGACAATGAATTTTACATGGCACATAGAACTGATTATTTTTTCCACTGATGTATGTCATTCATGCCTCATATATTTTCAATTTTTCCTCTAATCAAACATAGTGTCTGAACTATCCTGTTATTTTTTAATGACCTTACTGCTTAAATAAAATAAAAAAAAACAATGGGAGGGTCCTACAATTAAGGCAAAATTTGCAACAGATTTTCATCACTTAAGGACTGAACACACCTCAGTATCTCTTTAAACAAGCTACATGGATATTCGGCCTGATTCACTCCTTAACTAAAATGCTATTTTTTTTTACCTGATCTTTCCTCCTAATAACCCTAAGAATGCTTTAATTTTCATGACGACTGTAAAGATATTCTTCATCAGCATTGCTCCAACCTTAAGTCAGGGATGTTCAACATGTTGGATTGTCTTGTCCCAGTGAGATATTGCATGTTTCCCAGAGGACAAATGATCACGCAGCCTGTTGAATGAGATGTGAAGCCAATCAGAAAGTGAAGTGACAGAAACACAGAGAGGAATCCGAAACACAGAAGACAAAAGAATCCAACAACAACTCACCTCCATATCATACTGCTACTTTTATGTCCTGGTTTGTTTTGAGTTGTTTTTGAGGTTTGATTAGTCTGTCTGTTTTAGTCTAGTTCTTTGATTAGATCAGTCTTGTTTCTGTTTTATTTTAGCTCAGTCCTTCTCAGTGTTTCTAGTTATGTGTATTTCTTGCCTCTAGTTATTCCTTGTTACTCTATTATGTTTCTTAGGTATAGCTATTAGTGTTAGATTAATTTCCTAGTCCCTTGTGTACTTACTGTCATCCCGTATGCCATTTTTCTCTCTCTCTCCCCTCACATCTGCAACCCATTAGCTCACCAGTCCAGGTTTTTGTTCCAGCGTTCACCCTCACAGTATTTAAACCCCTCTCTTCCTCACACTCTTTGCTGGTTCCTCCTGTTAAACACATTATTCCCTGTGACCTCCCTGTTTTCTCTGCTGTTTTTTTTTTTGTTCTTCTTTGGTTCCCTGTAATTTTTGTAAGTTTTTTGCTTTTCCTTTTTTTCATTAAATCTACAACTTCAACACAACATCTCAGCCAGCTGCATTTGGGTCCTCATCACCAACACTCACCATGACAATAGCAAAGCCTTTTCATTCTTATTGCTTTCTACTCCCCAAATATCACACTATTGTGTGATATGTGATATCACTCAAATATCACATATTTGTGTGATGTGTTGTCAGCCATGTCTGTTTACTCTGAATTCACATTTGATCTCAAGGGGTTTTGAGATTTATTTTTTGGCAGTGACACCTGTTTGTGTGTGGCGTGTTGTATTTTTGCCCTTCGTCTGCACACCACACACTATATGAATATTATATCAGTCATTTTTAATTGTCATGTGTGGAGTCACTCATGTCGTGAAAATAAACCAACAATTTGAGTTGGTTTAGTCAACTCAGACAACAAAATTTGGGCTGTGAGCAGATGTCTATAGAAACCTCTAGCAGACTCTTGTGGACCTCAGGCTATTTTTTCTTGAGAACTGGTCTCTGAATCATGAAAAACTTCAAGACGAGTGAAGTAGAGAAAAGAAGGGAAGAAGGCATCAGGACGTCTGATTTCCCAACAAGTGCCATGTCTCTCTTACCCTAGATGTGAACTAAAAAAAAATATGTTGCCAACACTGCAGAGCTGGCAGAACATTAACAACAGTTGGGTGTGTGTAAATCAACATAGTGAGTAGGATGAAAACTTTGAACAACAACTTTTTGTTGAGAACTGACTGAAATTTCATGGAACGTGTGGATGAAGAGGAGAAGACTTATTTTCGTTGAGAATGTTTTCAGAGTATTTGGTGATCTGGAAGGTAATTACTCAAGAAAAAAAGAAGAGATATGAGTCATGTTCTGTGCTAACAGTGAGTCATCCTTATACAATCCACCAGTGGGGTTGCTTTTAATCTAATGTAGTGGATTCACTCACTGTTACACCCAATGACCCTGACATAGATAAAATGTCTTTTAACCTCATAAAGTTTTTCACGCACAATTAAATGTTAGTCTCTGCATCTTTCTGCATTATGGACCATTGTGTCACCATGCAGACACTGTAAATAACAAGGATTTTAAAATACTACAACCCACAGAAAGAAAAAGAATCGCCCTCCTTTTTTGACGTAAAAGTTCGTATCCAGCAGCCTAGAGTTAGTTTATCTGGCTGATGGGGGTTTGTGACCTAGTAGTCAGAGAGACCTAATTTAGGAAGAAAAGATTTTGAACCACAATTAGTGAAGTGGTTAGCCCACTAAAACACCTCAAGAAACAGCTCATGATAATCTATTTATGAACTAAAGGGTGTTTTAGGTTAAGACTCTCAGGGTGAAACACTTTCATGTGAAGTTTATTGTAAAAAGCTGAATATTATTTACACCAGACATTAGTGTAAATATTATACACTAAAGTACTTTTCTGGAGTTATTTCTCCTGTCTGCATTACCAGCAACCATTTGATCTTCATTATCTGCCAAAATCTTTGCTGATAAGAGCAACAACTGGAAACTTGGAGCTTCTAAAAGCCTGAGGTTGTAAAAAAGTTCTAGAATTAAAATGTGTGTCTCTGATAATCAACTACAAAGTCCAAATGTACGGCACGCCATCACTGAGTTCACACATCCTCCCACTGAAAGCCAGACAGTCAATATGAAACTCTGAATGGCCGGTATAAACTGTCTCTGCGTCTCGATCTGGAAACAGCCATTGTACCACCTGTCATGAAATGCGCCACTGTTTTAGTATAAAAATTCTCAAAACAAGACGGAATGACATAGTGTAACATAATATACACAGTTTGAAAAATAACTCATTATTATTTATGCAACTGTTTTAGTCTAACTTAATGTCAAACTTAAAAGAAACAGAAGATTTTTATGCCTCCCCCACTTCTTGTCACCTTGCACATCCTGTCGAAGCTGCGAGGCACGTCTGATCTGAGTAAACAACCTCTGTGGTCGGTCAAAGGCCTGAGACGTGCCTCACCACAGTCTGTTTGTCACGGGAGATGCAGCATGTGGCTTTGACATGCAGAATGCAACTACAAAGACCTGCCAACATACAGATGTTGATCTTTTTTTAAGAATTAAACATCACATCCAAGTTTAAAAGTACACAGTGTTCTTGATACAATATTTAACTTTTAAAAAGGAAGCTACAAATGAGGTTCTTTTTTGATTTTCAAACCAATAAGTAGGTAGTTATTATGCAGAAGAAGAGATGGCAGTAAAGTTTTTCATTTTTTTTACTTTGAGTCTCTATCTTTCTTCCCTAAAACGAATCCTTACAAATCCTTGCAATGAAGCGTCATCATATTTTAATATATTCAAGATCTCCAACAGGCTGAATTTAAAACAGCATTTCTATAAGTTGGCTTCTATGCCTCTTCTTCATCTTCGTCACGATTGTTTGCTTATGTATGTACTACCAAATGTGGAGAATTCAAAGCAGGTTGGAGGCGGAGTCAGGGCATTAATTCAAAAAGGGAAAATGCTGTGGGTCCCACAGAGTCATCCCTGCCTTGGGTGTCCTGCTACACTGCAGTTCTATAATCTCTTTCTGGATGGTTGCAGGAGCTCTTAACAAGTGAAGAATGAAATTGTTTTTTTGTTTGAATATAGAAAAGTGCCCCGCAAGCTTATTGCAAAGAATCCTCAGTTCAACAACAAAATGCACATTTGGGATCACAGTGGTGCAGACTTGGTTTGTTAGTCCTTAGCAACATGGAAAGTTTCCTTTCTGCTTCTCTCAGACAACTAGAGTGTTCCTGTCTTGAATTGGAAGTCGCTGTTGCAGTGCATAATGAGATGCTGTATGTCGCGAGATTACAAGTCAAACTTGTAAATAATTAATGGCAACTTGTGGGCCATTAATAATATATATGTGACATTGTCTCATAGGCTTGATACATGGACCTTGTAGTTGACATATCTGTCTTTAGTGAGCCCAGAATTAAACAAAACCCTCAAAAATTCCCATGTGAGATCCTTGTGCATTACATTGATCCAGCCATCCAGCTATTCATCCATTTTCTTACACACTTATCCCATTAGGGCTGCTGGTGCCCATCTCCATCGGTCAACAGGAGAGAGGCAGGGTACAACCTGAACAGGTCGCCAGTCCATCGCAGGGCCATTACAGTGGTTTTGTATCAAAGAAAAAATAAAGTAAATCAGAATTTCTTGTTTGTAGTCACCTATATAGAGTTATCCTGCTTCCTGATCTGAATAAGATCTGCCGTAGACTAAAGGATCATGCAGATTTTGAGATTCTGATATTTTGATTTGGAGTCAGTGGGTGTATCTTAGCAAGATATATCTAGAATATGGCTGAGTGAATCTCAAAGAGACTCCTATGATCCAGCAACACTAGTACAGATAAATTGTTAAAGTGATACATTCTTCTTCAGCTTTGACAAACACCTGCATATACAATATTTGAGTTCAGTAAAAAAATGCTATGCTTGCAGGTGGTAATGACTCTGACATTACTAACAGTGACAGAAAACAAACTGCACTGCACCCAGAATACATCCTCTACTCTCCGAGACATGACAGTGGCAGCATCATGACCTTTTACATAGCAGAGACTGTGTGGTAGGTCCAGGGAAATCCTGGAGCTGCTAAAAGTGGCAAAAGACTTTTGAGAACTAGGTTGGAAGTTCACCTTCCAGTACATGAAGTTACAGCTAAAAGTACCATAAAGGATTTAGATTAAGATAGGTTCATGTCTTAAAATAGATGTGCAAAAATCAGCCTATAGATGTACATCTCCTAAAAGACTTAAAGCCATAACTGCCACACAAGTGGGTCTAAAGAGTATCAACTCAGGGAGATTTAGTATAAACATACACCATTATCAATTCTGTTTTGTAAAATATTTTGAAAACTTTATCATGTTCCTTTTGCTGTACAATGATAAGTCTCTTATTGGCAATTTATCACTTAACTCTCAAAAACTACATTGAGGTTTGTGGCTGTAATCTAGAAGAAATTATAAAAAGCTTCATGGTGTTTGAATAGTTTTGCAAAGAACAGTAGGCGGAAATTCATCTACCTGTCAACCAATCACCTTGACTTCTACTTTGCAAAGCCTGATCATCTTAGACCAAAAGTTCCATTGGGTAGAAAGACTTCAGTGGTGTAAACAAGACTTCTCCTCAAGATGCATGGACTGGTTGCTTTGATTCTTCTTAGTACTGTTTGTAAGTGCTCTTTATTTTTATTGGGACAATCACTTGCAGAAAAAATACAAATTTGATTACTGTTCTTTTTTTTTATCATATTTACTGTCTTTACCAGGTATTATAGAGACTGCAGAAGTTCCTCGTTTGATCTCCACAACTGAGAGGAAACCTGGTGATAATGTTACCTTTTCCTGTCAATCGTCTAATGATCACAGATTCAGTCAGTGGTATAAACAGTCTCCTGGAAAGATGATCCAAACAATGGCTACTGGAGTTTATGGAAAAATGACAGCAACTAAGACATTCAGTAATACTCGTTTCCAATTCCGTAGAGAAAACAATGAGATGTCTCTTACCATACATTCTGTTAAAAAAGAAGATGAAGCTGTATACTTCTGCCAAAGTGGAACTGAATTTTTGCTAACTTTTCATAATGGATTCCTCTTGGTTGTAAAGGGTAACGTAACTGCTGTTGTTATTTTCTCTGAAAACAATAACCCATCTTTGAATTTTCAAGTTCAGCACTTCTGTGCATTAGTTTAACTTTACATGTTCTTTTTTTTTATTATTTATCTTGCACAGACTGTAATCAACAGACATCTGTCTATGTGGAACAAACTCCAGACGCTGCAGCGGTCCAGCCAGGAGACACCGCCAGTCTCCAGTGTTCCCTTTTTTCAGCGAAAAGTGAAACAAGACCTCGGTGTCCAGGAGAAAACTTTGTTCACTGGTTCAAATCTGGATCTGGAAGCTCTTATCCAAGTATCATTTACACAGCAAGGAATAGCACAGACAATGCAACGAAGAGAAGCTGTGTCTACCACCTCTCAAAAACAGTAGAGGACGCCTCTGATTTTGGAACTTACTACTGCGCTGTGGCCATCTGTGGAGAAATACTCCTAGGTGGTGGAAGCAAACTGGAAACCAGTATGTATTTGCATTCTGTCCTCAATTTGTTTATACATTCTTGTCTTGAGTATTGTTGCTTTAGAAAGTAAACATTCATGTTAGATTACCAGATGATACTGGTGATATAACCTGAAAAATGTAAGTCATCTTGATAATTTTGACATAATTAATAAAATATTAGTGTGTTTATCTTTTCCTCTAAGATGCCAGGCATGTCTAAGGATTATTTTTTCTTTAAGAACAGAACAAGACTCAAGTGTTCTTGTGCTTGGAGGATTGTTGGGGTGCTGCGTGATTGTGATTATCGGCCTTATCTTCTACATAACTGGAAGGAGAGTGTCCGACAGTGCTGAAGGTTGGCATTCTATCTTTTATCAACATTATTAACTGAAAATTGGTTGTTAAATATTAGTTCATTATATGTTATTTCACATAGAATACAATCTAATCAGGTGTTTTTAAAGCTACATTATTTGGTAGACTGTCAATAACAGCAAATTGAATTCATTTTTGAGATTATCAGGGGAAATCTGTATACAACACAGCCTTTAAAAATAGATTTCTGTAAAAGAAGAAAATATTCTTTGGGAAAAGTTTTGTGTTTGAATCCTTAGAGTTTTCTAATGTCTACAACAGATGTACTCGGCATATCACTATGGTTTTATATTTTTTTCCTCCTGCTTTTTAAAGAAAACAAATGCATTAGTTTTTCCTTTCACCAACAGGAATAAGAGGATCACATCATGCTGAAGATGAAACTTTGACTACTTATCAAACAAAGAACTTGGTAAATTTAAAATTAATGTTTACAGTACAGTTAATCTAGATTTTTAGGCTGTGCTCAAAATGAGCAATTTTTCCTTTAATGTACCTGACATAAAACATGTTTGTCTACAAATGTTTTATGTATTTTTTCGTTTAAATGAAAGTCTCAATTGTCAAATTAAAGTAGAAAATGAATGAACTATGATGACCTGCAAACATGTACTAACTGTAAAATGCCAATGGTGGTCGATTCATTTTTAACATACATTTGACAAAACCACATAATTTCGTTTTTTTTTTTTTTTTTTGTAAAAATTGTGTATTTACATTAGACAAAAAACATTACAGAGGATTGAGCCACTAAAAACCACTACATAATATTAGCAGTTAAAGTGTATTTTAGCAATCTAATGTAAAACTTTATTTCAATTTTATTGATACAAAATACGACAGTAAAACAATAAGTCAACAATAATCTGATCTTGTATAAATTTTGTCATTAACAAAAAATATATATGAATTATTTACAGAATAAAGAAGAGAATATGACCTACGCAGAGGCACTGAATTTCCCTGCAGCAAATGTGAGAAACTGCAAGAAAGTGACCACAGAATGTGTGTATTCTTCAGTCAAAGCAAATTCAAAAAAACAGCAGCAGCTCTGATTAGAGCCTAAGTATTTGCACCAGACTCCAAAAAACAGGACTAAGATCAATCAAGCAAAAGATGTTTGACTCTATTTCTGAGTGCAAGATTTTTCATGTCTGTTCATGTCGACTTCCTACTTTCTGGATACATTCTTGTATTTAAGACCTTCAGCTCATTGAAAACAGATAAGTTTTGGTATTAACAAGTCATCTCTTGGTGTTAATAAAGTACAGCATGTCTTTGAAACAGACGTTTTTCAGTCAATGTCAGGGAAAACTCGTGGTCTTTAAAAAATAATAAACATTTCAAAAGTTCTGATTCAGCAATTAGAAAAATATATATTAGCTGCAAAGATGTTTTTATGATGTAAAACTGATTAAATACTTGAATTAGAAAATTTGGCGTTTGGTTTTGGTCCAAGTCATTGAAACTCTTTTAAATGTTGTTTTTTGGACTGATTTAAAGAAAAGACATGTCAATTATTTCCAATTCTATTGTAACTTTAACACTTTTGATTTAACATAAGGGTAGAAAAAACTACAGCAAAAATTGCCATGATAGACTTCATCTTCTCTCGTCGATTGTTTAAAATCCACCACAATGCTCTTCTATTACAACATAAGTGATGAGTAAAGAACAAATGACAATTTCATAATCAGTTACTCCACAGGTTTTGATGAATTCACTTCTTCAAACTGTGTATGTCTAATTCCATCATGTAATAAAAATAATAATAAAAGTAATAAAAACTCCTCTGTGCTTCAGTGAGAATCCCATCTTAAATGTGACCCTAATAAACATTCATCTTAACTGTTGCTAGTTTCTTAAAACATCAAGCTTTTAAATAAAATTTCAAGTGTATTTGTTCTTATCTACCAAATGTCAGACAAACTGGTAATAACTTCACTGAATGAATACCAGATGTTTTTCTACAAATAAATCTCAGGTCTGGTAAAGCAAATAAGCAGATAAATGTAATGTAGATCATCTCTTCTCACTGTTCATGTGTTTGTCAGAACATTTCTCAATAAATATGCTATTTGTTTTTGATTATTAAAATGTCTTAGAATGTTTCTTGTGTATTGTTCTAGTTTCTCTGTCATAACATATTGAAATGTGTTAACGTTAAAGTATCCTGTACATGTATTACCTTGTGTGAATTTCCAAGTCAGGCCACTTAACCCATAAAAAAACAAATAAAATCAAAACCTAGTACTTTATTCATTGGAAATCAGATAATGGTTTGCTATCCAGTGTCTTACTTTGGTTTAATAAACAAAAAACAGAAAAAGCTAGTGTGATTTTGTTTTTCTTTTTTGCTTCAAACATAAAAACAAACTGCTCTTCTGATGGGTTGGAGGAGCTTAATATTTCCAGATCTTCTCTCATCATACTGTTATGATATGGTGGCAGTTTTAACAAATACATTAAAATGTTACATAGGTTTGACATAATGTCCATGGTAGATGGACACAGGGCAGCAGCAATTGCTTTAACACTGCAAAACCTCTTCTGTTAAAATCGCACATTTCAGCAACAAGGCAGTTCAAAGTGCTTTACATCATAAACACACACATGCATGCATGCACACACACAGGAATACAGAGTTGTAGAGGACACAGTTAACAATTGTCAAGTCCCATCGTTACACACAATTTGTCAAGTGTTATTCTTTGATGCAGACATTAAATACCAAGTTCCCTGTGCAGTCAGAAGCAAAGAAAAAAAAAGACTACAGGTGCAGAGTCTGCATTTTGTTTATCAGTGCTTGTTTTGGTTTCAAAACTAGAACATCTTGCCTGCACCATTTTGGAAGGAGGACTGTCCTACTGAAATATGCCCCATTGTCTATCACAATGCTCCGTGGACTGGTTGCTTTGTTTCTTCTAAGTGCAGTGTGTAAGTCCAGTTACGTGTTCATATTTTATGTATTAATGTTATTAATGCTAAATCTTTGTGTGAAAGCATTCTTTTTTTTCTAAGCATGAACGTTTGAACGTTATTCAATTTGATTTTTCTCTGAAGACTTCTGGTCTTAGTTCATGTGTAACTTCTCTGTTTCTGTCTTCCTCCTTTTGCAGTGATTCCATCTCTTGAGGTTTCTCTGTATATTCCTCTAATTGAAGCTGCACTCGGTGAAAATGTGACTCTGTTATGTCATGTCAAGGGGTATGACAGCGGATTGTTTTACTGGTATAAGACAAATTGTGAATATTTGATCCAAACAGTTGCTCAAGGTTATTTCAAAAAAGTAGACCTTGAAGCACAGTTTAAAACCGTAAGATTTGACATCCAAACAGAGGGCAACGTGTATTCACTCATCATAAGAAACATCCAAAAGGAAGATGAAGGAACATACTTATGTCAGGCAGGAGAAGCCTACAGGATGGCATTCGTTAATGGCACAAAGCTGGCAGTGAAACAGTACAACGTGCTAACGTCTCAAGAAACTCTGTTTGGCAACAGAACCACAGCTGAAACAAGTATGTATAATATTAGTAGAATGTTCTATGAAAATGGTGTTTTAAATTAAAAATAAAATGAATCATTACAAGGTTGTATGTAATTGTTAAACATCTTCAACATTAAAACTTTAAAAAAGAGGTATGTTGACATACAAATTGACAGATTTGCTCAATCTTTTGAAAAATTAACCTCAAATGTCAAAATTACTGAAATTCGAATTAACGTTAATATAAGTTGAACTTAATGTTAGTGATAATGTAATTTGAAAATTGTTGTTGTATAAAGTAAAAAAGTTGTTAACTGACCAAACATTTTGTGTTTCCAGGAAAAACCTGGGATCCCATTGTCATCGGGCTGTGTGTGGTGTGTGTTTTATGTCTGATTGTAATTGCTGTCCTTGTGTTTTTGAGAGACTGAATTTAATGTGAGTGGAAATATACTGATGCTTTATTAATTTCTTTGTATTTTTGTTTTTGTCTGTACAGTGTTGTATTTTAGGGAGAAAACCTATTACCTAGTTGATGTTTTTTGCATTTAGGTGGTTTTGTTGTATGTGTTGTAGAATGTAAATAAAAATTATTAAATGTTTAATACTTCAGATCCCTAGAAATTTTCAAACATTCAGCTTTTATCTACATGTTCTGGAAAAAAATGCATCTTTTTAATGATCTGTGGAAAAATGCTCATTGATATTATTGATTTGCTTGTTCTGCTAGTATTTTGACAATTCATGTTCAGTGACGAGTACCAAGCTGTAAAGGAAGAATGCTGCCTTGTTGCTGTTGAAAATGTTTGACCTGACAAAGATCAAAAAAGGACTGAAAAGGTTTTAATAAATACTGTGAAAATTAAGTGTGTTGGATTTTATTCATCCATATACTGTAAGCCTTTTTCATTCCTGTGTTTTCATCTGCTTATTGACTTGTAACTTCCTTCTATTCATCACAATACTATACTAAATGAGATTTAGATAAACCTCATTATCTAAATCAAATTTATATTTGTAATCGTAGGTGGCACACATTCGTGCACTCATACAAATAATCCCAAAGATTAAAGGTCATGCAAACACGGGTTTTTATTCTGATAATGAAACCTCTTTATTTTGATGCCATATGCAAGAATTATCCATCAAAGCTGCCTTGACACATGTAGGCTATTTTTTTCTTTTTTTAATTTTCAGACCTACTGATGAAAGAATCCCTCCGCCACTGAAAAAAAATCCAGTTGGGATCTTAAGGTCTGATGTAATTTTTTTAAAAATATATCTGTGTGTCTGTATCAACTGCTGCTTCAGAATGTCAAAAACAAGAAGTTTAGAAAGAGAGAAAAACAACATGCAACAGGTTGTGCCACGTCTGCATTTCCGCCAGTCAAGGAAGAAAACTAGAACATCTTGTATATCTTGATTTTGATCAGAAGGTTGCTGTTCAAATAAATGGTGCTCCATTTTCTATCAAAATGCCTAGAGGACAGGCTGCCTTCATTCTTCTGTGCATGATTCGTAAGTTCAATTGTTTTTCTTTCCCATTTCGTTCGTACCATGCATATGCACATTTAAGTGCTGAAGTAATCAATACATAGAATAAAATATAATAACATTACAGTTGTATCCCTCTATTTTGGATTTATTGTCCTGTCTGCTTTGTAATGATTGCAATTTGTTTCTCTCTTGTTTCTTTAGTTGTGTTTCAAACCATCAGGGTTTCTCGTCAGATTGCTCAAATAGGAGCTTCACTTGGTGACACTGTGACTTTGACATGCAACTTTACTGGCCATAAAAATGTGTCTATTTACTGGTACAAGGTGAATTATGGAGATATAATTCAGAGAGTTGCAAGTACAGGGCTTCACAGAGTAACACTGGAAGGAGAGTTTCACAGTCCAAGACACAGTATTATAAGAACAGGACACGTGTATTATCTCACTATACGAAATGTTCGCAAAGAGGATGAAGCCTCATATATGTGTGAGGCTATCACAGCAAACAAACCGGCGTTCATAAACGTCACGCATTTGGCTGTGACTGGTAAGAAATATTCATTTTGATCTGAAAACTGTATTTGGCTGAAAAAAACGCATAAACTGTGTTAATTATTTGTTCTTTTATCACTCAGGTCACAAAAACCAAAAGTCTGTCTACGTGAAACAAATTTCAGAAACCACATCTGTGCCGCTTGGCACAGAAATAACTTTGGAGTGTTCACTCACGTTACTAGAGAAAAACAAAGCAGCAGATCGATGTGCGGCTGAGCACAGTGTGTTCTGGTTTAAAGCTGGTTCACAATCCGATCCAGGAATGATGTTTGCTGCTAGGAACATCTGTGACTCAGAACCAGGAAGGAGCTGCAGCTACAGACTGTCCAAAACCATACAGAACCCCTCAGATGCTGGGATTTACCACTGTGCTGTTGTGACATGTGGAGGAATCCTGTTTGGAGAAGGAACTAAAGTGGAATTAGGTGGGTGGTAAAATTTGTAAACTTAAGTAACAGTGTTCAGTTAAAATGAAGAAAATACCTCTACATTTTCATTGCTTGACAACTCAAATGTCACCTAAAGACACTTGAAAAAGTTACAGATGCAAAGGTTTGCTGGCTAATTATACATAGTTTTTCTTTTGTCAGAAGAAAAATGGGATCCTCTTGTCATTGGACTCGCTGTGTTGTTGGGTCTCTGTGTGATCGTCATTGCTTGTCTAATTTTCTCAAGAAACTGAATGAAAGGTAATTCCTACTTGCAATTTAAGTAACATGCAGTTTTTTTTCTGTTTTGATTTCTTTTATTAATTTATAAATAAAAAAAAAACAAAGCAGTTGTTCAAACAAAAAGAGTCCAAGAGATCAGTTGTTTTAAAACTTCAGCATTTTTCGTGCATATTATTTCTCTTATTGCTCATTTTGAGATTGTTAATCAATTAAAACATAGAATGTCCTGCTCCAGTTATGTAGCTAAATGTGATATAACAGCAAATATAAATTTATCACTTTCTCTCCACATATATTTCTGTTTCTGTTTTAAATGTCAGTAAGTTTGACCCATGGAAACGGACCTCAACTTTTCAAGCAATTTACTTCCTGGTTTCAAAAAACTATGCATTTGCTTTCATGCAAAAACTGTTATAACATAATGCAATATATATGAACTATAAACAATATGCAGGAAAAAGATACATGCTGTGCTATAAACCTTTGCTTTTCTAATTATTTTCTTTGTCTTATTTTCAATTTTAGTCCAAACACATTCAAGTGCATTCAAGTGAGTGCAATGACACAAGTCTTTCCTCAAAACATTTCCAAAGACGAAGATCGTGACGACAGCTTCAGAAGCACAGGATCGACAAAAACACTGTTGTTTCCACTTCATCAGTAGGGAAGCTTGTTTTTGTGGTTTCCTGTGTTTACCATGGAGTTTCTCTCCAACCGAGTCAGTGGAGAGACAGTCCTAGACTTTTATTAGCTTTGTGAGGCTCCAGTCCGAGACAATGAAGAAGTGAAAAACACAATACAAAGTTCAACAGCAACCAATATTTTGCTTTCAATTAGAAGAGACAAGTCAGAAAGCCTGTTTTTTTTTTTTTCTTAAATTGGTCTGTTTTAAACATATTGAACTGAAGAAGAGATATGTGAAACCCGCTGTTTTCAAAGATTGTTTACTTATGTGTTTAGTTTCTACACAACTAAAAGATTTTTCTGTCAGCATTTTTTTTTGTGTGTGTGTGTGTGTGTGTGTGTGTGTGTGTGTGTGTGTGTGTGTGTGTGTTTAAGGGTTTGCTTTGTATTGATCTATTTACTTTGATTAAGTGACACAGATGCGCAGTTTCAGTTAAAGTGATTTTCAATTCATAATTTTTCTTTAATTTTGTATGGTGAATTTTGGAATAGTTTTGATGTTTTTAATGTTGTTTTAGGTAACAAGTTTTGAAATACTTAAAAATTGATTGTGCTATACTCTTCTTATAGTCAGACTCAGTTCAATTGTTACAAATACTGGTCATAAATACATGGTTACATGTTTTATGGATAAGGCTCTTTCTAACGTTTTAAATGTTTAGGCAATCATTAAGAAAGTATAGCTTGTTTCACACTTTACAATAAGGCTCCATGTTGGCATTTAAAAATGGTGATTATTCATAAATAAATTGTTATGCTGTACACTTTACAATAAGTCTCCTTTTTGGTATTATAAATGTTTATTAGCCATTAGGAAATGAAAACATGTTATAAACTTTGCACAAAGCTCCCTTTGCCATTTATTAATGTTTAGTAGTCAAAATAAACAGTGCATTGTTTTATACTTTAAAATAAGGCTCCTTTTTGATAGTTGTAGATACTTAAGATTCAGTGACAGAGTGAAATATTATATGCTAAAGAATTAGATTTAGAAAGCAACTTAGTTTGAAATGTTTAATATAACAACTCCAAATGAAATATATAAGTGAACAGATTTGGCTCACTTTTTGGTAAGAAACCAGGCAGTTTTTTCTTCTTACCCTTAATGAACAATCTGCTATTAATCATTAATAAAGTTTTTTATAGAGGAATTAATAACATGTCTATAAACTATTAGCCATCTATAAGGGAGCCTTATTGTAAAGCAGTACCAGTATGGTGGCCAGATGAAGCACAACGATACCATGGTCATTATTCTATATTTTGGTACTTTTGACATTGTGGGCCGGTGCCAAGTCCTGCTGGAAAATGAAATCAGGATCTCCGTAACTGTTTGCATAAGGAGGAAAAAAATTCCCATTTCAAAAAGTTGAGTTGACTTTCCTGAGAAGAAGGCAGGTACTCTGAATAAACCTGCCTGACTCTGTGGTGCTCAGGGTTTGGCGTTTCGTCTCAGGTGCTCAGGTGAGTTCCAGTGAACCAGATGTCCTGGGAATTCAAGATCTACATTTTCTTCTTGTTTCAAACCTCAATTTAAATTTTATATGAAACTAACAACCTTACCTGGTCTGCTGTCAGCGTTCATTCTGAACAGAAACATTAATATAATTTGTGGAAAAGGTCACAAAATACCTCTTTTTTCAAGAAAATCAATTCTGCTCAAAGGTGGATTGATACAAATCTGATTCTTTCAGTTGTGTCCAAGGCTGAAACATTAACAATCACAATGTTATTATTATTATTATTATTATTATTATTATTATTATTATTATTATTATTATTATTATTATGTTATTATTATTATTATTTCAAAATCTCCAGATAATACAAGGTATTACAATATAGTGAATCAGTTTGGTTTTATTGGACAGAACGCCACTGTGTTGAGAAATTGTTACAAACTAAACCTAAAAATATTACCAGCCCAGCCACTACACTACACTTTACAATCACATTAAATTGTTATTATTGTGTATTTCAAAAGGGACAATGTGCATCACATAATACCCCAGAGATAGCCAAATAATCCAGTTTTCATCAGTAGTCCCTCCAAAGATTTATACTTGAATAAAGAGCATTATAACACTGAGCATTAAGGCATGTTTGACCAACCCATGCAGGCAGTAACAACATGTAGGCATTGTATTAGAGGGAGTGCACTCTCCACTTTTCAGCCAATCAGGATGATTTTCACTTTATAGACTTTGAACATATTGTGAGTAAACCTTCATTTGGGTAGTAAGGTGTCAGTTCTGCAATACAAATGCATTTTGCCACTATGATTAGAAAACTGGCTGCTTTGATTCTTTGGACTGCAGCATGTAAGTATAAAGCCTCATGCAAAATAGTTTAAGCTATGAAACAGTTTATATGTACAGTATAGTGCCTCTTTGCAGTTAATACATGGCTGATATTTAACATTTATCTCCTTTTTAGCTCTGAGTCAAACTAATGACATTCCTCATCAGATTCCTTTGGAAGTGGTTGAAGTTGGTGGGAATATTACTCTGCATTGTCCACTTTCAAAGACGGAGCGCAAATTCTTCTACTGGTACAAGCAGCCGCTTGGACATATGCTCCAGACAGTTTCTTCAGGAAGCTTGACTGAACAAAAACTCAGTGAACAATTTAACAACAATCGCTTTAATTTAACAGCGGGGGATTCTCAGTGCTCTCTGACTATCAAGAATATCAGTAAAGAGGATGAAGCAATGTATTTCTGTCAAGGTGGGACTGCTTATTTTCAGCATTTTGCTGCAGGGATGTACTTGGCCGTAAACGGTAAGCTCTGTTATTATTCAAAGAGATCAGACAAGATTTTCAGGTAATAGTCTTTATTAACAATCTATTTATTTTTTACTGAATCCTAGATCATAACAGTCCAACACTGACTCATGTCAGACAAACCCCAGAGACAACATCAGTCCAGGACGGGGACACAGTTAATCTCCGCTGTTCTCTTCTGTCCAACACTTCTGTAAACTCTGGTCAATGTCCAGCTAAAAACAATGTGTACTGGTTCAGAGTCGGATTCGGAGCCTCCCATTCAAGCTTTATTTACACTAACAAAAGCAGCTGTGATGCTCAGCAAAGGAGCTGTGACTACCAGCTGTCAAAAACTATACAGACGTCCTCAGATGCTGGAATATATTACTGCGCTGTGCTCACATGTGGGAAGATCCTGTTTGGAGAAGGAACTAAAGTAGAGATGAGTATGGGTAATAAACTATGGACTTTAAATCACTAACTGAATTTTTTACAGTTTCACTCTGTTCAACGCTTTGGGTCAGACTGAAAACTGTCGCAGCTTTCAATGAGCTAAGCAAGATAACAAACATAATAATTAAATTGTTATATTTTTCCTTTTGAAAATGTGTCTCTTTTGTTCAAAATTTTTCCTTTTAAATTCTGGGATACACAGTATGGACCTGTGTGTCATGTCATTAGTAGACTATTTATTTATTTATTTAATTTATTTATTTATTTATTTATTTATTTATTTATTTATTTATTTATTTATTTATTTATTTATTTATTTCTCTTCTGCAAGGTAAGCCTTTGGAACCTCTTCTCATTGTCCTGAGTCTGCTGTTGGGTCTTTGTGTGATAGTGATCGCAATTCTTATATTCTCCAGAGATTAAAGGTAAGATTGTTCTTTTGTTTTTTATATTCTTATAGTTTATTGAAAAACCTTTTATTTCTGCTATGGTTCATATTTAATTATTAGTCAAACATTTTTTTTGTAAATTATAAAACTGGATATTCATCAACATTTCTACTTTCACATCTTCTTACTAATTTTACTGAATAAATCATCTGGTAGTAACACAAGCATGTACACATATGTATACACTTGCTTACACAAAACTTGTAATTTTTATTTTCTATATTTTGACATTGAAAAGTAAAATTGTTCTTTTATTTGGTCTCCAGTTCTGATATCTCTTTGAACAATTCTTTTAAGGATGCAAATATGTATTTGCACCCGCGTTTCTCTACTCAGAAAGAAGAAAGAAAAGGAAAATGATCATCCATCAACTACTATGGACTAGAATAATGAGGAAGAAAATATCAGTATTTGTTCATGTATAAAATACCTGAAATATGTTTCTTGTAAGCTTTGTTTGTGTTCAATGCTAATGTTGCTTTGTAAAAAGGACAATAAACAGTTTGCTTAAATGTTGCAAGATATTATGTTTTGTTTTGTGCCTTGGTGAACACAAAACAAAACAAAGTGGCTGAATTTCCACTTCATTATTCCTCTTTGTGTTTTTATTTATTTGTTTTTAACCTGAACAATCAGTTGAACTGACATGTACACCAAGTCTTTTGAATATTTATCAAAAATATTGTTGCAAAACAGAGACTAATTATTTAAAAATGAGAACAAATTACATTTCTACCAGTAGCATTTCCAGCTTGTCAGTTTTGTAATTCACAGCATGGACAGTGGTTCAAACCTGCTAAGTAGTATGTATAATTAAGCAACAAAACTATAAAATGTGGGATGAATGTCATGCAAAAACAGGTTCTGCTTCACAATTGACATGGAATTGATAAATATCTCTGCAACCTGTCCACACAGAATATTTGTTACCAGGGCCGTGCAGAGACCACTAAAGGGGCAGGTGCTCAAAAAATAAATAAATAAATAAATAAATAAATAAATAAATAAATAAATAAAAAAGGGCACATCTAACCACAATCTAGGGTTAGGGTTAGGATTGTGTTCACTGACGATGCTTTCTGGAAGTACTCCTGAGCCCATGCTGTTATTTCCTTGATCGTGGCATTCCTGTTTGAGGTGCAGTGACGTTTAAGGGCCCGGAGACCACGAGCATCCAGTAGAGTTTTACGGCCTCGACCCTTACGCACAGCGATTGTGCCAAATTCTCTGAATCTTTAGATCAGGGGTTCCCAAACTTTTTCCTGCGAGGGCCACATAGCTGTTCCTTTTTATGGTCGGGGGCCAGTCTTAGTTTTTGGAAAAAGACA